AATATTTACTGATAATAATAGGCATAAAATGATATAATGCTAAATTTGAACTATATTCCAATTCTAAGCACCAACACAGTTCCTATATACAACATCCTCTGATAAGCACCATTAAAAGGAAAGAGAAATTTAAGTCTCTGACTTCTTTAGCTCTACCCATAACCACCTTGTAAAGAAACTAGGACCAGTTTCCAGATTAACTAGCAAGTTGGCCAAGTGTGATTGCAGATAACTGCTTTCTTGAAACACTTCAGGCTTTACGCTGATAACATTGAACTGCATCAGCAAACACAGGTGCCTACAATTAGTTTCTTGGCTTGCCAGTGGCTAAAGCACCAACATTTTAAAGATACCAGCTCCTATTGATACCTGGAGGCTGAAGCATAAATAAAAATGTGTAACTTTTGCTACTGATCAATAGAATGGTGTGTTGTCATAGCAAACACATCACTTGCCACTCTGGTCAATCTTGAGCCTCTAGACATTTTACATTCAACATGGGTTTACAACTAATGACTGCCCTACTGAAATACCCTCATTACAGAAAGATTGTATTTCACTGAAAGTTATGCAATACAGACACATAATTGCACTATATAACGCCCACACTGGCTACCAGTAGGTGGGAAATACTTCTCAGGACCTCCCATGATGGCTGTGCCACAGCAAATAATGCTGTTGCCTCTACTCATACATCATTGTGGAAGGGAGAACCAAAGTGTGCTTTATTTGTGAGCCGTTAGGTCACTCCCAAGTGAATTGCTCATATTTTGTCCTACATCACGATAGACAGAGTAACTCATTATGTCCATCTGCCCATCAGGTGCAGGAGAATCATAGGCAAGCTATAGCTGCTGTTACTTCTGCTCTGTTAAACTAACAGAGTCATAGTTGAACATGGGAAGTGCAGAAGCCAGCTTATTATGAAAGGTTTGGTGGTCAGCCCTGCTCATTAAGAGCTTGTTGATGCTGTTATGTGACAATAAGGATACACAGGTGTAAGCTCAAATTCCTGGTTGGCACTGGAACTGCTAAAACCCTGGTCAACCTTGTAGTGTATCATGTACTCCAAATGAAGCCACCAATCTGGTCAGTTCATTCTGGTGAATAGTGATTAGCTGGATATAAATGGAGAGGCACTTCTCTAACTAAATTTAAGTAATGTCACCCACAGAATGTGCTTCTGATCTAAATATCGATTTATGAAATTTATAATTTACAAATGTATACTGTTTTCTTAAACTACATGTTTATTTTCTACAGATACATGTACATTTAATAAAGCTACAAGTATATTTCTCACCCAAATTGTCAATTTACGAATAATAATGATATTCATAACTTACTTATGCAAAATATAAATTGCACATACAGTTTAGCTAAAATTGCAAAGTTACATTTGGCTTGATGTCTTAATTAGTTGATGCACATGAATTTGTGTATCAGCAACTAGGAAAAGCCACCATACTGATGAAGAGATGCTATAATAAAGCAGTGAAGAAACAAAAGTTTGAGGATAAGACCAGATATTTCTTTGGTATGTACCTCCAGCACAGAAAACATTTTACTCTGACTGGCCTGGTCCTTATTTCGTGGTGAAAAACTCAATCCATAAAAGTATGAGCAACAGTGTTCACATGGCACTTGTAATCATATTAAAAAATGAAGCCATATATGTCAATGATGAATTTTTCACATACTGGTTAGATTAGGTTGATGAGTCAGGCAATAGTGAGGGCACTTTTTATAATATATGGGAAGGGGAATTTATGGTGGAAGTTATTGGTCCAAGACAAGTCATTTGAGGAAGGATTGGTGGAGGAACTGCATTACCTCCTGATCTATGTTGCTAAGATTAATTACTAGATCAATAACTGAAAGGAAGTGGTCATTATTTTCTGAGTTACTGAACAGTTTCCCACGTTGAAATATATGTATAATATTGAGTGGTAGATGCTCAATTATTGTAGTTAAGATAGTTGAAGTTAATAGATACAATGCCTAGAATAGCAACAGGTTTTACATCTGAAGATGAGTATTAGTAGTTCAAAAACTAAACAGAAAGAGAGTTACAATCCCTACTTTCTGAACTATTGATCAATTTTTGGTGGCAAGATGTTTGTATGATGTCTTAGCATAAACACTCACATTATATAGTTGATTATGAGCAGACATTATGCTGGTCAAAGACCATACAAAACTCACCAGGTACTTAGGACAGTTGATGTTATTAGATCTAATGCCTAGAATGTTCTCAGTTAGCAGCGATGAAAATGGTTGCTTGGATATCTGATGTATTTTAAAACTGAAATGACTTTGCAATTCTTGTTTTACAAGCACACAGGTGCAATTTTGTGATGAGCATTTGTAGGATGCTTATTCATATAATACCTCAGAAAATCTGTATGTATGAAAATGTGAAATTTAAGTAGCATTTACACACAAGCATATGAGACCTGTATATCGTTTTCAAATTTTTAGTGAGTAAGTTAGGTTCTTAATCAGTACAGAATATGAATCAAACTGTGATAAATCTTATCACAAAAAGTCATACTTTTGCTAGGTTTTGCCTTTCTTTATTACTCCATGATGCCATAAGTAGTGGGAGGTGAAGGATAAACCTACAGATGATAATATAATATCATGGTTCAAGTCGCGACCTTGATCACTGGGAATTCGTGACTCCATAGGATCCTTGCATAGTCTGTGCAAAGTAGTTAAGAATTTGCTTTGATTAGAAGTTAATATTGTCATATGTTATATTTTTAATGTTGTAATTTGTTTGTTTGCTGGAGGGGTCTGAGGGCCATAAAATAAACCTAGAACATCTGGAAAGTTTTAAAAAATTCGATGTAATGTTTTCCAGTGAATTCGAGAGTAAATTGTAGATATAAAATAGGTGTAAAATTTGTACAGTTGTTTCGAGATAGTAGAGTCTTTTCTAGCCGGAAAAGCGAATTAGTCAAGCGTGATTTTTATTTTTGTGTTTTTTCAGCCGTGAAATGATTCAAGTATTAGGTCGTCAAGAAATTAAAGTCGCGTTTTGGAACACTTTCATTACCCCCC